ACGTGAGAATCCAAGATTTTGGTATTTGAGGTACCAGTCCACCATATCTAGAAATGACTGTATATGGTGGTATACAAAGGAACAGTTTCATACTTTAAAATCTTGTGGGTTGACAGTAAAATAACGTTTTCTCTGTACATCTTCAAGATTCTTCTACTTAAAATCACTTTTGCAGTGAGATCAGTCTGGTCATTTGGATCAACAAATCTCGATTTTTAGATATAACAATACCTCTTTTTGTTTTTTTCTCTCTCTTTTTAAAAAAATGTTACTTCTTCTGATTTAGAGTTTTGTTAACCTCAGCAAGATTGTTTCCTCTAGTTTTTAAGCAAAAACATATTGTAAAGTCTGCAATATTTTTCTAATGTGCTTTTGCCACATGTCTTTTAGGACTCATCTGCATGACCCAAATCTGTCCGGTGTTTGCAATTGCTGTACGTTTCTCAAGTATTAGTTTTGAGATTTTCCAGGCCTCCAGTGCTCTTGGTTTTACAATTTTCCTTTCTCCTTCTCTCCTTTGTACCCTTACTTCCTCTATGTATTTTTAAATTAACAGTATTTTTAACCTGTAGAACCTTTTCAGATGCCTATTTTTGGCTCTAGAATTGCAGTATTTATATCTTTAGCTCTTAAAACCTGAAGAAGTGCATTGGATGAATTCACAGTGGCTAAATTTATAAAGTGATATTTTAAACTCTCTTTAGAATGGATTATTATCAGATCAGTAATCAGTGAATAATAGCAAATGATGCAGAACCCTAAACATGTCTTGTACTTTTTTTTCTCTCTGTGCCTCAAGTATATTTATCAGGAAACATCACTGATTTCTTGTGTACAGACCCTGTCACCATAGCAGGCTACTGTGTCATAGAACTAAACTCCATGTATTTAATTCAAAATAAACATATTTACACAATAATACTATTAGATGTTAATTTATTGTACATTAACTTTTGAGAATAGACATTTTATTAATTTAATATGGAAATAAATGAGTGTACATAAATCATAATAAACTTTGATGTATTATATATTTTAGTCTACATATCAGAATTTTTTGAATTCCATAAATATATTATGTGAAGAGTGAAATAAAACACTGGGTCCTTTTGGAGGATGGAGGGTAGGAGGAGACAGAGGATCAGGAAAAATAACTAATGGGCACTAGGTTGATACCTGGGTGACGAAATAATCTGTTACAACAAACCTCCATGATACAAGTTTACCTCTGTAACAAACCTGCACTTGTACCCCTGAACTTAAAATAAAAGTTAAAAAAAATATAAGGAATATTTAAAAATATGTTAAAAATTAAATTACAGAGCACTTGTCATCATGCTTCTTGCTTTATTTTACTTGTGACATAATGTTAATATTTATTTTCATATATTTTCTTTGGTTATTTGTACACATTATTTCATATGTGTTGGTACATGTAGTTTCTCCAAACAAAAATATCAAAAAAAGTGCAATCAGATTTTGAAAGGGTAGTATCAGGGAAGTATATCCATGGGCAGAGATAGGACAATGAAAAATATTAATCAAAATAAAAATCATAAAGTTATGAAAAAAATTAGCAAGCAAAATGAAAGAAAATGATTTGAGGGTCCTGAATATAAAAGTATGCATTTAAACCATGATATTATAACCTAATTTCTATTATATATATATATAGATAGAGAGAGTTATGATTATAAAATATATGTATATGTTTATATATATATAGTTATTCATATTTCTTCAATGTTTTCTAATAGAAACAAACATTGAGATTACATAGCATATATTTTAAAATAGATTTTTTCCTCAGTTACCCTCATTTATTTGTTTTATCTTACATTGAGTATACTTTTCAATTATAGCATGGCTTAGTTTGGAATGGACGTCAACAGGAACAGTTTACATGAAATCTTTGTTTGAAAAAGTCTCTATAGTTAACTCCTGAGGACATAATCAGGATAACATGACCACATCTTTTGCACAGAATTTTTGTCAAGAAAAATTTAACCACCTTGCCTCTGCCTATTGTTTATTTTCTTCATGTATTTTATAGAATCAAAAAAGTGAGTGTAAATATGTGTACTACAATTGTTATTTGTGGAAATAATAGAACTAAATTAATTCTCACCAATTTATTTTAGATCTACTGCCTTTTTGAAAATCATGCCTTTGTTAATTGGTTTTGATGACAGTGCTGAAAAGTACCCAGTATCTTTGATGTATTTTTTGGATTTTTAAATTCTAGCTGTACAACCAGATATAATTATGGTTCAATCATTTTTTTTCTATGTACTAATAATAGAATCTTATGCAAATGACTGAAAATTTTTGACTTTATTTTTGTAATCGTTAAAGTGAGTATAATGTCAATGTCTTAGAGCTGTTATAAAAATTAAATGAGTGGTTATACTTTCTAAATACCAGTTGCCTCAACCTGACTGTTTACTCTTGTTTATGATGCAGTGTTCCGACCCAAAAAGATGAGACTAGCACATTGGAAATAAACAATAGTGGAATATTTTGAGTACTCTACTGTGATTATATAAGTAAATGGGGAAAGTGCAAGGAGGATATTGATATCTTGCTTTTCTTCAGCAGAGCTGCATTTAACATAAAGGGGAGTCATTTTATTGAATAATAAAACTCTGACAATCACTGTGATTGGCTGACAGCCATTACTGCAGTGCAATTCTAAACAGCTTGTTTTTCAAAGTTCTTCTTGAATAAGTCTTTAAGATCCAGACATTGCCCAGCCTGGTTGAAAGGTTCAAACTCATTTTTAAAGTGAAGTTTTTCACATTCGAATACCATTGTGATATGAATAATGGAAAAGATATGCATTAAAAATAATATTTTCTTTTTAAATGTTTAGAATCTTATATTTTCAAATGGAAGAGAAAATTTGGAAAATTTAACAAACTAAGGTTTAAATCCTAGATAAAATTAATTCAGGAGTTATGGAAGAAAAAGAGATCTTATTAAAAAAAAAATAAAGTCCAACATGTTTTACAGTGAAAGCACAATATTTGATCTGCATTAGCCAGCTTAAAAGCCTGTGATCTCTGTACAGAACTCAAGGCTCCCAAAGTTACCATATCTACTTTGATGTATTCATCTCTCTCAGTCAGTATTTCTAATCAACAATTCTCCCTGGAAAGTATGTATAATAAGTCGGTGTACCGTTGGCAACGCACCAAAATAAATATTTAATGATATTTTAATAGCTATTTTAAATCTCTTTTATTTAAATTGCAGATTAAAACTTTATTTGGCCAATGAATTCTGAGCACAATATTTGAGAACCATATTTGCTACTGAAGCTCTGTGTAAGGGATGTGTACTAAATTTTCAGAATGTCGAGGTTAGATAATCACTGATGGAGGCATTTTATTTGAAACGTCTGCATTGGAAACATTGAGATAAAGATCAGGAGCTGGAATCTGTGAACTGCAGAACTGTGTTAATTGCTCATTCTCAAACATAGAGATGCCAATTAATTCCACACAACCTAGATTCAAAGCAGCACAGGGAAATGGTCCTGATGTGAGTATTGTACAAAAACGAAGAAAAATAGATGCGTTCCAGCATCCACAAAGCTGATTCTTCAACAGGCAGTAATAGAAGCCCAACGCATCCAGCGATTGGCTGATGGCATCTTTGTTCAGGCTGGGTGGAGAAATCCCTCTCTCACCCTCACCTTCAGAATCCACTGCTCAGCCACCTGGGCTCCCGCGGGGTGCGCGCTGCCTCGCTGCTGGTACACGTCTCCCCCTCTCGACCGCCAAGTGCTTGCTCCCTCCAGGCGAGCACTCACACAATGGACTCACTTGTTTCCCTTGAACCTCTCCTTTGACTTCCAGCCTCAGCCAACAACTTGAGCAAGAGTCAGGCAGGAGTCTCTGCCATGGAACACAGACCCTCGGAGCGTTCCAGACCCGCTCAGAAGCACGCGCGCACACTCAGACAAAACAAACAATGCCTGGTCCACGAATGAATAAATTAAAGACACCCACGCCCCCACCCACCGCTCCGAAACCCGCAGAAAGAAACCCGGGGTTGCCTAAATAAGAGGTATTGTTGTGTCTTTCAAACTGCAAGTATTCCCCCTTGAAGACGGCGAAGGAGAAGCTGTGCGTTCAGATGGCAGTAAAGATTGACGGTGCTTTGCCCGTGACAACGCCCCCAGCATCGCGCGGAGCCAGGTTCCCTGAGAACCCGAGGGGGAACCCAGATCTAGGGAGGAGGGAACAGCAGAGGCAAAGACAGCTTGGCAGGGATTGGAAATGGAAAATCAAGGGGGAGGAAATGAATGAGTGAATTTGGGCTTGAATAGTAAAACTTCCACGGAGAAAAGGATGGTATCTCTCCCCAGGTAACTACCTTGAGATGAAAAATACATGAAATACACAAGGAAGTGGCAAGCAACAACTTTGAGGTGAGCAGCAAGTTGTGCACCTCCTCTCAAGGCGCTGGATCAGCACCCCCTGAGCCGTCACCACCGCACACACTCCCAATCCGAGGCGGCGGCGGCAGAGGCGGCGGCAGAGGCGGCGGCAGCTGCGCGCCTCCGGCCCAACCCCGCTCGGCTCCCCCTCTCGCCGGCGCCCTGCCTGTCTTGCGTGTGCGTGTGCGTGTGCTCAGCCTCAGCGTGAGGGGCACCTGCTCGTCTGGGCTCACAGCGGAGGCAGCCTCGCCGCGAGCTGCCGCTGCCGCTGCTGCCGCCACTGGTGCTGCCGCTCTCAGGCGCCGGGCTCCGTCGCCACCGCCGCCGCCGCCGCCGCCGCCTCGCCAGCCAGAGTTGGGCTCCGTGGGCTTCCCCCCTCGCAGCCTCGGTCCTTCCCCGCTGCCTGCAAGTCAGCCTGGCTCCGAGTCACGTGTCAGTGCCTGAGGCAGAGACTGCGAGAAAAAAACGCTCTTCATTCCTTCTTCCACCGCCATACTGTATTTTATACTAA